TGCGTGGACCACTCCGACGCCTACCACGCGGCCATCTCGTGGTCCCTCTTCTTCCTCCTATGCCTCGTCGTCCCCGTGGCCTCCCGCCTCTTCGTGTCCTACTCGACACCCGCCCGCCGCGCCTACGACCTCGTCGTCCAGCTCTCCCTCGTCCGCCGTCTCCGCCCTCTCCTACCGCTCCGCCTCTCGCCTTCGTCCGCCGGCTACGGCCTGCCGCCGCTTTCCCTCTTCCTCGACAAACTCGTCAACGAGTCCGAGCGCGTCCGCCTGAACTACACCGCCCAGCTCAACCGCTCGTTCAAGATCCTCTCGTATTTCGTCACGCCCTGTTTCATCGCCCAGGCGCTCTACAAGGTCTTCTGGTACTCCACCGGGCAGGAGCTCGTCACTCCACACTCACATTTCCTCATCTTCGGGAGCCCCGTGGCGACCGAGTCCGTCGCGTGCGCCCTCGAGCTCGCGTCGTGGATATACCGCACGGCGATTTTCTTCCTGGTCTGCGTGCTGTTTAGGCTGAGTTGCTTCCTGCAGATTCTGAGGCTGGATGACTTTGCGGCGTCGTTTCAGAACGCGCCGGACGTTGGGTCGGTGCTGAGGGAGCATCTGAGGATCAGGAGGCAGCTGAGGATCATCAGCCACCGGTATCGGTCCTTCATTGTGAGCATTCTTGTGTTTGTGACCGGGAGCCAGTTTGTGGTGCTGTTTCTCACGACTCGGCCTGGCGCGCTCGTCAGCTGGTCCAATGCCGGAGACCTCGCGGTGAGCATCCATACGTACATTTCTCTTCAATTCTCCAGCCAGCAAGCTAGCTCTAATTTAATTAATTAGAGGCATCAGCTAGCCCTGAATTAACACACGTACAAATCTCTAAATCCAGTACTGATCAGGGATTGATATTATCGAAATCATGCGCTTTGTACGTAGTGGATGCACCAGATACTCTCATATATATGATTAGCAATACGATTAATTAATTAATGATTACTAGTCTTTAAATTTAACTAATTGTACATGTTCATATCGTGTGTTTTGGGCCCTGCAGCTGTGCTCTATAGGCCTGGTCACAGGGCTCCTCATCTGCCTCCACAGCGCGGCAAAGATCACGCACAAGGCCCAGGCAGTGACAAGCCACGCTGCAACATGGCATGTTTGCGCCACCATCGACTCCTTCGACGACGACGACGACCCGGAGATGCCCTCATCTGATCAAGGATATGCAGCCGCCGCGGTATACCAGAGGGCTGAATCTGAGGACGACGACGATGAGTCTCAGTCTGAGGATGAACTTGATGCAGCTGCTAAACTTGTGCCGGCACAGTTTAACGCTACTTCCTTTCAAAAGAGGCAGTCGTTAGGTAAGAAAATTGCAGATATTAATTCCCTCTTATTTATGTCTTATGAACTGAGGCGTGATAAATGCTAATAAATGACGCGAGGGTGATAATTGTAACTGAAGGTATAAATGGGGGGTTATCTGCAGATTATCCTTAACCATAAAAAAAACTAACTAAGAATGATTAAGATGCCATGAACTTAATCATTTTTAAGGTTTAATTTGCTATGTTATATTATGCTATGTATGCAGTGACGTATTTGGAGAACAACAGAGCAGGGATCACAGTATTTGGATTCGTGGTGGACAGGACGTGGCTTCATGCTTTGTTTATGATCGAGTTCTCTCTCGTGATGTGGATGCTAGGAAAAACTATTGGCATCTAGCTAGCTGATAAGCAACATTAATCTACAACTGAGGATGAGGACTGATCCAAGTTCAATCCCCAACTGGTTTTAGCAAAGGGATTTTGTTTGGCGAGCCCTTCTTTTGTAATTAATTAATCTGCCATTTTGTAATTAATGCTGTTAAACTGTCATGGCCTCCTCGATCTCTCTGGGTCAGTGCATGCCACGTTGGTGCTCATTAAGCGCCTAAAAATTTCTCGTTTGATTGACATGTCAAAGGAATTTTGGTAGGAATGTACATTGATAATTGATAAAAAGGAAAAAATGTGAGTTTAATCAAGGGTTAATTGTAGATTCCTCCATAAAACTGTTTTATTAGCAACTTACTCTCCGAATCTCAGGCGTGTACCTTAATATGAGGTCCAAGCTCATAACTTGCCTACCTCAACAGAATGTACTTGATGTAATTTCCATTAGCATATTAAAAACATCAATTGCAATTATCAATTTTCAACTATCTTATTAGCATTTTGCACCATTGAATTGATATTTTTAGGAGAATAAATTGCAGATAACCACACCTCTTACGTAATTTTAAGGACGTTAGAAGTGCAGTGGTTGAGATATGATAAATCTTTACCTGTAAATCTCTCAAGGGAAAAATTGCAAAATAGACCGTTTTGCTAATTATTTAGCAAAATAGACCGTTTTGCTAAATAATTAGCAAAATAGACCTTCAGTTAGTGAAATTAAACCTTAATCTTGTTTTAATATGCTAATTAAAACAGGCCAAAAAGAGGTCTATTTTGCAAAACCGCTCAGAAAACAAACGGGACTAGTAGTCCCGTATATTTTAATCACGGATTAGTGAAATTTTCTACTCAGTAGTCCCGTATGTTATGTTTTCTGAGTCACTAATCCGTGATTAGTTTGCTCTAAACATACGGGACTAGTAGTCCCGTATGTTTTCTGATCGTTGTTTTTCAAAATCGACCTTTTTTTTCCCAAAAGAGGTCTATTTTGCTAATTATTTTTTAAAGTGGTCTATTTCGCTATATATTTCATAAAAATGATTTATTTTGCAAATTTTCCCATCTCTCAATCATTATTTTCTCATTATCTTGAAATTTATGTGTAATCTAATAATCAGAAAAAGGAAATTTTGTCAAAAATCTTGAGGTGGGGATGAGGAGAAGCGAGACGAGGCTCCAGCTCCACACCCAGAATCCCACGTCCAAACGTGTGGCGAACAAAAAGATAGGATTTTCGCTGCTCTCTCTCTCTCTGTCCTCCCCCCTTCAATAATTTTGCTTCGCCCGTAGTCTCCTTCGCCCTTCACGATCCCAAACCCCGAGAGGCCCAAAAATGGCGAGCTCGATCACTCTCGTGGCCTCCTCCTCCACCTCCAGGCTCCCCTCCAAGAAAACCCACCTCCCCACTCCCCTCCCTAAACCCTCCCTCAGCTTCCCCCATCTCCCCAAACCATCACTGTCACTTCCGCCAACCCTCACAGTGGCCGCCACCGCCA